TTGGATGGCCACTCCTGGGAAGACTGTGGCATTGTGTTAACACAAACATGCTCCAGAACAGCAAATGGCCAAAACGTCTGCCTTTACAAAAGTGTTCCCACCTGCTGATGACCAATGAAGTGCACTTGGTTACTACTTACCGTCTTAAATCATGTGAAACCAGTAAATGTTGAAATACTATGAAGTGCTTTGCACTTAAATGTGACTGTAAATTACACACAGTGCACTGGATCTGTGGTCTTGTTTCTGGGTAGGATTACGTTGGCATGGACGTTTGGTTTATAGGAGATGATTTAAAGTTTTGGTCTGCATATCCAAACCACATAGCCAGAGAAACTGAGCTGTTGCTTCATGGTTGTTGAATGCTAGGAGGGTGAAAGAGTGAGTTCCTTTACAATGTTTTTGACACGTCATTTTCCATCAAATACCCTCTTGGCTCAGCTAAAAAACCTGAGATATTAAAAGAAAGAGAGATGACATTAAGAAAATCAGAAAACTGAAATTTATGGGCGAGTTCTATTTTTTTTTTTTAATCAGGTTTGGCTGGTAACTGTAGTTATTTTAGATGATGCTTCAAAAATAATGGCACAAATAAATGACTGGATGCACATCAATATGGCTGCCAATTTTGGAGTCCTGCTTCGAGTGTGCTGTTGCACAGGAGCTGGTAGACTTTATAAACTTCTACACTGCCACATAAGGATTTGTTTGACCTGCATGAAAATCACTCAAATGAGGAATGATTCTCTGTACCTGTAACTGAACTGTTATGTGAAAGAAAACGGGTCGCAAGAGAAACCACCTGACTTGACTTGTACATTTTATAGAGCAGTAATTAGTGAAGAAGAGACCATAAAAGGCCACAGTGACAGTCACAGTGTTTGTGTGTCAGTAGAAGTAGGTGGCTGATTTTAAATGGGTGCATCAGTGTGTGACAGTGCTCCTTTCCCTGGCAAAAACAGCAATTTAAAAATGCATTTCACCAGATGTTTTATGAGACTTGATGAAAGTGAGGTGCCATTAGCTGAAATTACAATCTTGATTGTGTCCACTCTGCACAGCCAGACATAATCTGTACCAAAACAGTACTGGAGTAGACCGACCATGACCTGACATCTTAATGCTATAAATGACAGACGGCTGAAAGACGTCTATTTTTAAAGGATGCGCTTGGCAGAGAAAAAATGGGATAGTCTGAGAGTTGAAAATAGTCGGCAGGAATAATAAAGGCAACAGAAAAGGCTTGTTGTGAGTTGTATGTGAGGCTGGACACTAAGGAAGGAGAGAAGAACTTGTATGGATTGACTATGCAAAGAGATCGAGCTAGAGATGATGTGCAGTAGGTTAGTATGTTTAAGGATAGAGCAGTACGGTTTCATACTAAGAGAAATCTACAGGTGTGATGTTTGCTTTCACAGTGTTGATGGAGAATACAGAGAAGGTCAGAAAGAGCTGCAATCCACTCTTTGTGGATCTAGACAAAGCGTATGATAACGTGCCAAGAGAGGAACTGTGGTACTGTATATGCATGGAGACAGTGGTAGGAGTAACAGGTGGGTCAAGATGGTGGTGGGAATACATCTGGGATTGGCTCTGAGCTCCTTCTAATTTGTAGTGGTGATGGACAGGTTGACTGGTGGGGTCAGCCAAGATTCTCTGTGGACTCTGATGTGTGTAGATGACATTTTGACCTGTAGGGAGAAGGTGAAAGAAAGCCTGGAGAGGTGGAGGTATGCTCTGGAGAGATGAGGAATGAAAGCCAGTAGAAGTAAGACGCAATACATGCATGTGACAGTGAGGATGCAAAGAGTAGAGTTAGTGAGGGTACATAAGTTTAAGTTACTGGCATCATTCTTCCTACA